GATCAGTGGGTAGGGGTCTGGGGCAGTGGGTAGGGGGCAGTGGGTAGGGGTCTGGGGCGATGGGTGGAGGTCTGGGGCAGTGGGTTGGGGTCTGGGGCGGTGGGTAGGGGTCTGGGGCGGTGGGTAGGGTCTGGGGCAGTGGGTAGGGGTCTGGGGCAGTGGTAGGGGTCTGGGGCAGTGAGTAGGGCCGTGGGTAGGAGTCTGGGGCAATGGGTAGGGGTCTGGAGCAATGGGTAGGCGTCTGGGGCGGTGGGTAGGGGTCTGGGGCGGTGGGTAGGGGTCTGGGGCGATGGGTAGGGCTCTGGGGCAATGGGTAGGGGTCTGGGGCAGTGGGTAAGGGTCTGGGGCAATGGGTAGGGGTCTGGGGCAATGGTAGGGGTCTGGGGCAGTAGGTTGGGGTCTGGAGCAATGGGTAGGTGTCTGGGGCAGTGGGTAGGGTCTGGGGCAATGGGTAGAGGTCTGGGGCAGTGGGTAGGGGTTTGGAGCACTGGGTAGGGGTCTGGGGCAGTGGGTAGGGGTCTGGGGCAGTGGGTAGGGGGTTGGGGCATGGGTAGGGGTCTGGGGCAGTGGGTAGGGGTCTGGGGCAGTGGGTAGGGGTCTGGGGCAGTGGGTTGGGGTCTGGGGCAGTGTGTTTGGGTCTGGGGCAATGGTTAGGGGTTTGGAGCAGTGGGTAGGGGTCTGGGGCAGTGGGTAGGTGTCTGGGGCAGTGGGTAGGGGTCTCGGGCGATGGGTAGAGGTCTGGGGCAGTGGGTTGGGGTCTGGGGCGGTGGGTAGGGGTCTGGGGCAGTGGGTAGGGGTCTGGGGCAGTGGGTAGGGGTCTGGGGCAGTGAGTAGGGCCGTGGGTAGGAGTCTGGGGCAATGGGTAGGGGTCTGGAGCAATGGGTAGGGGTCTGGGCAATGGGTAGGGGTCTGGGGCAGTGGGTAGGGCCGTGGGTAGGGGTCTGGGGCAGTGGGTAGGGGTCTGGAGCAATGGGTAGGGGTCTGGGGAAGTAGGTTGGGGTCTGGAGCAATGGGTAGGTGTCTGGGGCAGTGGGTAGGGGTCTGGGCAATGGGTAGAGGTCTGGGGCAGTGGGAAGTGGTCTGGGGCAATGGGTAGGGGTTTGGAGCACTGGGTAGGGGTCTGGGGCAGTGGGTAGGGTCTGGGGCAGTGTGTAGGGGTCTGGGGCAATGGGTCTGGGGCAGTGGGTAGGGGTCTGGGGCAGAGGGTAGGGGTCTGGGGCAGTGGGTAGGGGTCTGGGGCAGTGGGTAGTGGTCTGGGGCAATGGGTCTGGGGCAGTGGGTAGGGGTCTGGGGCAGTGGGTAGGGGTCTGGGGCAGTGGGTAGGGTCTGGGGCAGTGGGTAGGGATCTGGGGCAATGGGTAGGGGTCTGGGGCAGTGGGTACGGGTTTGGGGCAGTGGGTAGGGGTCTGGGGCAATGGGTAGGGGTCTGGGGCAGTGGGTAGGGGTTTGGGGCAAGGGGTAGGGGTCTGGGGCAGTGGGTAGGGGTCTGGGGCAATGGATAGGGGTCTGGAGCAATGGGTAGGGGTCTGGGGCAGTAGGTTGGGGTCTGGAGCAATGGGTAGGTGTCTGGGGCAGTGGTAGTGGTCTGGGGCAATGGGTAGGGGTTTGGAGCACTGGGTAGGGGTCTGGGGCAGTGGGTAGGGGTCTGGGGCGGTGGGAGGGTCTGGGGCAGTGGGTAGGGGTCTGGGGCAGTGGGTCTGGGGCAGTGGGTAGGGGTCTGGGGCAGTGGGTAGGGGTCTGGGGCAGTGGGTGGGGATCTGGGGCAATGGGTAGGGGTCTGGGGCAGTGGGTAGGGGATCTGGGGCAATGGGTAGGGGTCTGGAGCAATGGGTAGGGGTCTGGGGCAGTAGGTTGGGGTCTGGAGCAATGGGTAGGCGTCTGGGGCAGTGGGTAGGGGTCTGGGGCAGTGGGTAGGGGATCTGGGGCAATGGGTAGGGGTCTGGGGCAGTGGGTAGGGGTCTGGGGATGGGTAGGGTCTGGGGCATGGGTGAGGGTCTGGGGCAATGGGTAGGGGTCTGGGGCAGTGGGTAAGGGTCTGGGGCAATGGATAGGGGTCTGGAGCAATGGGTAGGGGTCTGGGGCAGTAGGTTGGGGTCTGGAGCAATGGGTAGGTGTCTGGGGCAGTGGGTAGTGGTCTGGGGCAATGGGTAGGGGTTTGGAGCACTGGGTAGGGGTCTGGGGCAGTGGGTAGGGGTCTGGGGCAGTGGGTCTGGGCCCACAGAGCCCCCCCCCCCACCACACCCACACACAGACTGCCCACAGAGCCCCCCCCCCCACACACAGGACTGCCCACAGACCCCCCCCCCACACACAGACCCACAGAGCCCCCCCCCACACACAGACTGCCCACAGAGCCCCCCCCCACACACACAGACTGCCCACAGAGCCCCCCCCCCCACACACAGACCCCCCCCCCCCCCACACACACACAGACTGCCCACAGAGCCCCCCCCCCCCAGAGCCCCCCCACACACACACAGACTGCCCACAGAGCCCCCCCCCCACACACACACACAGACTGCCCACAGAGCCCCCCCCACACCAACACACACAACAGACTGCCCACAGAGCCCCCCACACACACAGACTGCCACAGAGCCCCCCCCCCCAACACACACAGACTGCCCACAGAGCCCCCCCCACCCACAACTGCCCGGCCCCCCCCACACACACACAGACTGCCCACAGAGCCCCCCCACACACACACACACAGACTGCCCACAGAGCCCCCCCACACACACACACAGACTGCCCACAGAGCCCCCCCCCACACACACAGACTGCCCACAGAGCCCCCCCACACACACACACAGACTGCCCACAGAGCCCCCCCACCACACACACAGACTGCCCACAGAGCCCCCACACACACACAGACTGCCCACAGAGCCCCCCCCACACACACACACAGACTGCCCACAGAGCCCCCCCCCACACACCACACCCCCCCCACCACAGACTGCCCACAGAGCCCCCCCCCCACACACACAGACTGCCCACAGAGCCCCCCCCACACACACACCACAGACTGCCCACAGAGCCCCCCCACCACACACACAGACTGCCCACAGAGCCCCCCCCCACACCACAGACTGCCCACAGAGCCCCCCCCCCCCCACACAACCCCACAGACGCCCCCCCCCCCACACACACACAGACTGCCCACAGAGCCCCCCCCCCACACACACCCAGACTGCCCACAGAGCCCCCACACACACACACACAGACTGCCCACAGAGCCCCCACACACACACACACACAGACTGCCCACAGAGCCCCCACCCCCACACACAGACTGCCCACAGAGCCCCCCACACACACACACACAGACTGCCCACAGAGCCCCCCCCCACACACACACACATACAGACTGCCCACAGAGCCCCCCCCCCCACACACACACACACACAGCCCACAGAGCCCCCCCACACACACACACTGACCAACAACTCAAACACGCTTCTGTTTACCAGCAGTAAGTAGGAACCCGGTTGAAAGTCGATTGGCGGATTGCTTCTCTGGGGCTAAAAAAAATTGTGCACCTAATCCTCGACTGTTTGTGGGACACCGCTGTGCGCAATCGGTTGCTGTGTTTTCCCCGCAAAACATAGTCGATTCACTTTACAGTGTATTCTGTGAAGCGCTTTGTGATGTCTCCAAGACACGATAAAGCGCTGTGTCAAATGTAAGGAATATTATTATAAACATGTGGAAGAATGATGATAATCGTATTTAATACTACTTGATTGTATTCAGTGCAAGTGTTTAGCTGTATTTAGACGTCTAACTGATCAGTGTGTGTGAGCACCTTCATTTTCATGGCAGATAATGATCCGTGGCCATGTTCGGTTTAACAACTTTTGTAACATGATGGAATAATGAGGCAAAATGCATCCCTGACAACTTGCTTCCTATCACTGTTTTGTAATAGGGGGTAACAGGACTTTTGTCAGAGGTGCTGTCCTTCCATGAGACGCAAAATAACAAATTACATTTGTATAGCACCTTCCACGTTGGGAGGACGTCCCCGAGCACTTGATAGAGGTGGAGCACGACACCAAGTCGGGGGAGAGGAAGGTCTTCAGGCCTTCCAAATGTGGAAGGAAGGGGCAAAGTATTGAGAGTGTTCCAGAGTTTTGGGGCGTAGTGGTTGAAAGCACGGTCACCAATGGTGGACCGGAGGGCACGAGGGATAAACAGGAAGCCAGAATCAATCAAACAGAGGAACTATGTTGGATATTTGACTATATTAATCCACATGATCTGCTAACAACAGCAATCTATGTTTAGACAGAGAATGTCTCATTATTATTATGTATATCCTAACTCCAATGTTAGGGAACGCTCCATTGTCAGAAGTGTCATCCTTCCATGAGACGTTAAAGCCGGGTCTCAATCTGCCTGCTCAGGTGGACGTTAAAGATCTTACGATCCTATTGGAAAAGAGAAGGAACCTTTATTTTCTTGTGTCCTGGCTGATAATTCTGCAGCCAGTTTTTCAGTTTGAAAAGAGTCCAAAATCGAGACTGGTAAATGTGCACTTTGGACGAGATACTGCGGGTGTCTGTGGAAGTGTCCTTGGTAAAAGGGGGGAAAAAAATTGTCAAATGCCTTCGGGAAGGAATTAGTGACAAGTTTTCTGATGCTGTGGCAATGGCTGACTACTTTGTGGTGACTGAACTGTTTCTTTCTCCTGTAGGAGTTGGGACTTTACTTGCCTCAGGCGCCAGTGGACAGTGACGACGATGATGATGAGGAGGAAGTTGCAGCTCAAAACAGTCGACAGTCGATACCAATGGACCCGGGTAAGCGAGAGGTAGCAGTGGAACCACTTCAGACTGCTTTACAAATACCATAAAGATATAAATTTATATAGCGCCTTTCATGTCAAGATGAAATGCATCTCCAGGTGCAGGACAGTCCTGGCTTGCCACCTGAGGCTACTTTCCAACCTCTTCCAGGCTCTTCTCCAGGGTCACTGAGATGAGCTATTATGGTCTCCTAAATGCCATTGACCAGTTCTGTGTTCCAATTAGAAACAAAGTGGCCTCTGATCAGAAGTACCACGAGCCATGTCTATGGCTTGACTACCTCTCATCTGCCAGTGATTTTGTGTTTAATTTCAGGTGGATTCAGTTTTTATTCTTTTGGGCTGATCTTCATATGTTTTGGCCATTCCTAGCTGCGTAATCTTGTTTCTTGTATTCTACCCCATATCCTTCACTTTTCAACACTGATCCATATCAACCTGTCTGCTCCTTCTGCTCAGCAGACTGTGGCCTGCTCCACGTCCCTCAACCAATCCGCCCCACCATCAGCGTTGGGTCTTCAGCCTTTCTGCCCCCATCCTATGGAACTCAATTCCACATTCTTCGCCTCGCACCCTCCCTTGCCTCCTTCAAGGCATGACTCAAAACTCCCTTCTTCGGCCATCCTCCTACCCTCCCTGCCCTCCACCCTCCCTGATCCCCAGCTTGGGTCCAAATCCCTGACTGTCCAGTGCCTCAGTACATCTTACCAACGTGAAATGGTGCTATACAAATGTAATTTTGTATTGTATTGTTTGCTTCCCACTCCCTGTCATTGGTGGTTGAGTCTTCAGCCAGCATGTTCTTTGAGACTTTGCCTTCAAAACTCTTCAAAAAATATTCTTTCTGGTGTATAGATCTTCCATTTCTCCAATGGAAGCTGATTTTGCAATGTTTCACTTTACGCAGGAGGGGTTGTCTGTCTTAACATAAGGTTGCTGTTGTTCGCAGATCATGTGGAGCTGGTGAAGAGGACCATGGCTGCTATCCAGTTGCCGAGCCTGGGGATCCCAACCTGGGCCAGGGAGATCTCAGAAGAGCAATGGCAGAATGTTGTTCAACGCACGATCCAGACAAGGCAGGGAGTGGGGGCAGATCAGAACTAGGGTGTCTGTAGCCCTTGATTGACTCCTGACGATGTGGCTGGACTCCGCAATTGAACCAGTTCCACCTTTCAGGACCCAGATACATTTCTGGAAGCTGATTGTTTATTGTCCCCCCCAGTAAGTCTTGTGTCCTGGTCTGCTCCTCCTCCGATAAAAGCTGCAGCCTCTAAAAGTGACTGCAGTGAATTTGTGCCAATTGCATTGTTACCAGGTTCTCAATCTAAGGAGCAGTGACTTTGTCCTGTGGCATTTAACTATTTCCAGTTAAGGTCAAACAATCATTGAGAAGCCAGAGGACTGGAGGGTTAGGGTTGTAAAAAAAATTGGTTACATTCTCTACTGGTGGGGAATGATGATTTTTCTATAATTGAATTTTAATTTCCAGATTTTGGGAATGATTGTATTTAGTTACTCTAATGATTTTCAAACCTAATTTTGTACCAGTTACAGGTCTAGTCACAGATCTGCACTTTCCAAACACGAAACACCATGACCCTTTTTCCCCATTCTCAGCAGTGCTGCTCTGTTACATTGGGCTATGTATATGTTCCACAGGGCAGTGGGACAGCAGGTCCTTGAATAAAGTCAGGAATGCGACCACATCATCACTTTACTGAGACTAGGCTGTTGCATTATATTTTACTTCATAATAATGAAATATCACTTTTGATGTAGCCTTGGCAGCGCCCTGGGACGTCCTCCCGACGTGAAAGGCGCTATACAAATGTAATCTTGATGTAGGTTTCTCATTCCTTGATTTTTTGAAACTCCACACTGTCCAAAGGATTTTGTAATAATGAGCTGCTCTCTATCTTCTCGAAAATGCATGCATTTTAAAGGAAACTAAGCCACACTGCGGCTTGATCCTGGTCTTTGCTGAGCTCAGCTATAGCTGTTTTTTTGGTCAGCTGGGTGTCTGACACATGTGGAAACCCATCACCACACTTAAAGAGTATCCAAACCAAATAGAATTCCATGCATCCCATCTACACATGGAAATCCCAGATAGATTGTTGGAATGCACACACTCTCCCTAAAGGGGCACATCCTGCTTACCTAATTCCAAAAAGTATTAGGTGCAGGTTGGGGACCCCAGAGTGTGTGCTGGGGTAACTGCTGGGAGTCTACACCAGCTAAACCCACTATAGCAGCAGTGGGTGGTGGAGCAAAGTGCTACTCCTCACCTTAATAAATGGGAGGGAATCAGCTAGTGCTTTGAATTGCTGATGGTAGTATCCTCTGGAAAATGGCCCAGAACTGCTCAAACCTAACAACACAGGCTTCATAATAAGAACCAATGGCTTTTCTTCAAGGAGACCCAGTTTATTTTTGTTCTGTACATACATGAACATCTGTACAAAATATGACATTTGATACTATGTGATGCTCTACCTAAAATAAAGTACAGCATATGTACAATATTAACTAAGCAGCTTAATAGTCAGAAAGTTGTCTTTGATTAGTCCTCCCCTGTTCCTGTAGAGCTGAGAAACTGCCCCCCACTCCACCCCCATCACTTCTGACACTCAATCTAATCCCACCCCTCCCTCTCCATGAATGTTTTATGTCAAGTGCTAACCTCCCCCCACCTCGCCCCACAAAAAAGCAAGGTGCTTCCTGCCGGTGGCTATTACATGGTGAACCAGCAGGAGACAACAGCAGGCTTGCACTTCCTGGCAAACATTAACACCACAGGCTGGAAGGCCAGTCTGGTGGACAAGCACTGAGACAGATGCTGCTGAACTCTTCCCTCGTACAAGTGGAACATGATTTTAGACAAATTCATCTAGTGTTTTGCTGTGAGAATCTACTCCCACCTTTGTAAAATGCACTTGATCAGAACTGGGCTCAAACAATAATTACACAAATGCATTTACAGACAGACAATATTAGCAGAGAGAGCTGCTGTCCCATTTCAGTGAGGTTAAACAAAGACAGGTTTGTGAGGCATTCAATGAGTGCTCTCTGCCAAGACCTTAAGGAGTTATGGAAATGGAGCTCCTCCTTGTGATAGACAACAGCATTTAATTTCACAGATAAAGACTGCCCTTACCATCACCTTCCAGATGAATCTTACCCTCTAACCCTTGCCACCCCCCTCTAAAAATCAGGTCATAGACCCAACAAATCTTTTCTCCCAACCCAAACTATTTAGCATCACCTAGTGAGGAATAAATAGTCTCAGGCCTGCAGAAGCCTTCAGTCTACTCCTTGGAAAGTGCTATTTCTGTGCAAGATATTAATGCAGGATTTGTGGCACGAGGTAACAATGGAGCCGTGAAGCGCAACAACCAAACGCTCTGCATTCTGGCATCAGCCTGGGGGGGGGGGAGGGTTTATCCTCCGGCGCTCCTGCAGCAACACTTGAGGGTTCAAACACTGGACCAGACACATTCATTCACACCACAGGCATGCCAGCAGTCCCAGACTCCCATTCCCACCCCACTCTAGGGAGAACAAATTGTTGTCAATGAACTATCAAAAGGAGACCACAGAAGCATTTGCCAGATTAATGAGAGTATCATTGTATCTCGGCAGAAATTTGCTGCACTGGAGAGCTAACAGAAACTACGTGAAGAAGTTGCACACTTGTCTATTCACAACTATTCATAAACAAGTCCAGAAACTCCAATTGGATCCATGGGCATATATCATCTGGAAAGACTTACGCAATGCCGGTAATTGTTATTACTAATCCTGGCAGATCACAGGCTGGTTTCTCGTTATTGGTTCAATGTTCACAATTGAAGGACGGATAGTCAAACCCTGTTATAAGGAGCAATAGAAGAGCAGCTGCCAGTCAACCAGCTCTAAAAAGAGGCTAATTTCCACCATCAATTCCTGTGTGTTCAGCAGGAAGCAATAACGGCACATCCCAATAGCCTCAAAGTTAGCCATTGTTTTTGGAGTGGGGCAGGGGGCTGTATGGTCCATATATCAGTCTTAAATCCACATGGCACCCACCTGCATTAGAAGTGAGTTTAACTTGCACCAATACATTCTGTGAATCACTGGTTTTGCCATCACACCAACAGCGGGAGCAAATAACACAGAAAACGACAGAGGATAGGGAGAATCCAGCACACTCAATCTACAATGTTGGAATCTCCTGTTTAATCACTGGCACACACAGATCCCATCCCTCAATCGATCACCACCCAGTCTGGAATGATTAAGAAGTCCAACAAATATGAGGTACAAACGTTGCTGAGTGTTTTGTGGATGGAGAAAAAGGGTGAGCAGTAGCTTCGCAATCGTCAGTCACACAATACTCCAAACTAACTCCGCCTCAGGAGCAACTACTTTCCTTTCTAATTACAACCCCATGTGACAGTCACCCTACAGCATTGCATCGACTGAACCTCACAGAACCGTGCTCTATCCTTCCTCTCAATCACAACCCTGGCTTTGCCCCATCCTGGTCCCTTTCTCTGCCCCAGGTCCCTCCCACCCCTAAAAGTTACTAGTCTGAGAAGAATCATTTATGCACACCCAAGCCACAGAGAGAGCGAGAGCACGTGTGTGCACGGTGGGGGAGAAACACCCATTGTGTTACTCTACAGATACGTGGAGACACAGAGCGACCAGGTTGTTGTTCTGTCACTGCTGGCTACACAACCTGTCACACCGAGTGGGAAAGTGATGTTCCCGGTACCTCAAGGTTCAAATGGTGCCAACACAGACAGCCATATGTCTTCACAATGGTATCCGACAGCTCCATCCACTCTGGCCAGTCAACCAATACTGGCCTCGCGCACTCTCCATCACCTGACAGGACAGACAGACTTGGGGGGAGAGGGGGAAGTGTGAAGAGGGAGAAGAGAAAGATCAAGGGAGGGAAAGAACAGCGACGAGGTAAAAATTAAAAAGCAGGTTACAAAAGACAGACGCAGCTTTACATAAACACTGATCAACAGTTCATTCTATGCTTTATACGGACAGAGTGCCTCGCTAGGATCCTGGGTGAGGGGGATGGGGGAGGGGCCCCGCTACCCGTCAGAGTGCTTCCTGGTTTGAGCTGAGATACTCCTCCGACCTCTTGTGCGCCTCCAGGGCCCGGATCGTGTACACGTCCTGGGGCAGCTCCGACTTCCTGCGCATAAGTGTCTTCTCCTTCTTCATCTCCTTCTTCACCTGCAACAGAGTTGCATGGTCATAACATAATAATCCTTGGATTTGATATAGCACCTTATCATGTCATTGCACATAACATAAGACTTGCAAGACGAAAGGAGACTAAGGTCCATCCAATTTGCCTTCCACCGTTCCGGCAGTCACATGCTGTATTCCGAGATATTATTTCTTAACAGAAATCTATCTAATTTGTTCTGGAATGAATCCACATTTTCTACTTCCACCATCTCCCACTTCCACCATCTCCCAAGGGAGCCTATTCCACACAATAGAACAGTCTTTGAGACATCTCAAAGCACTTCACAGCATATATTATAAAGTAGAGTTTGTGGGCAAAACGCAGCAGTCAATTGTGCACCCCAGTGTCCCACAAACTGTCGTGGATTGAGTGACCAATTTATTTTTTGAGAGATTATTACCCGCAAAAAGGGAGCCACCAATCAGCTAACAGCCGGATTCCCACTTACTGCTAAGTAAACAGCGGTATGTAGTGTAAGGAAACTTGCCTAAGGTTTTGCCCTGCCCTGGAATCGAACCCAGGTACTCTCGCTTGCAAGGCGAGTGCTTTAACCACTACACGTGGTCAACATTGGCACAGTGGGGGGGTATCCACGGAGAGAGGTAACGACAGAGGGGCAACAACACGCCTCAGTCAAGCCTACCTGAACTGCCTCGGTCTCTACCGCTTTCTTGAGCAGCTGAATGTCCTCGGAGGTGGGGGTCTCGGTCTCCATGGAAAAGACTGGGCTGACAGCCGTGTGGTCACCATGGGCGTTGTACTGAAATTGGTCAAAATGGAAGGGGAGGGTCAGAAATGATTCCAAGTCTCCATTTATATAAACATAGGAAATGGAACAGAGCCTCTCCAACTGCTCAGCCCCTGCCCACCTCACCTTCATACTGGTCAATGTGGACAGTCCACCACCTCTAACCCCCTCGCCTTACTCTCCAGTCTGTCCCACGCTGCATTGATTCAATAACAAATAATAATAATAATAATCCTTGCATTTGATATAGCGCTTTTCACGTCGGGAGGACGTCCCAAAGCGCTTCACAGAACACACTGCAAAGTGAATTGACTGTACATCTGTGGGCGAACGCGGCAGCCAATTGCGCACAGCAATGTCCCACAAACAGTCGTAGATTGAAAATGACCAATTTAATTATTGTTTTTGGAGGGATTATTATTAGGCGTGTGGAGTAAGGAAACTTGCCCAAGGTTTCGCTCGGCCTGGAATTGAACTCAGGTCTCTCACTTGCAAAGCGAGTGCTCTAACCACTGAGCTACATGACTCCACAACTTGCCTTTATACAGCACTCCTCACGCAGGATAGCGTCTTATTGAATCATAGAATATTACAACACAAATGGAAGCCATCCGGCCCATTGTGCCTCTGCCGGCTCTTTGGAAGAGCTACCCAATTAGTCCCACTCTTTCACCATATCATTGCAAATTTTCCTTTTCAAGAACCCATCCAATTCCCTTTTCAAAGTTATTGAATCAGTTTCCACCATCCTTTCAGGCAGTGCATTCCAGACTATAACAACTCTGTAAAAAAAAATTCTCCTCATGCTAATTATCTTGAATCTATATTCCCTGGTTACCAACCCACCTAACAGTAGAAACAGTTTCTCCTACTCAGAAACCCTGAGCTTGAGCAGCCGGAGGCACTTTCTGGACATGTGATTGTCCAGCACAAGTGAAGAGTCCTGGAGTTCCCACATGGCACATGATGTGCATGCAACAGGTCTCAGCTATTCTGCCATATGTCCAGAAGTTTGTTTTTAAAAATATATTTTNATTTATACACATATATATATATATATAAAAAAGCAACTCATTCCCCTTCTGCACCGAATTCCCACTCTCACCAAAGTTCTTCACTGAAGTCTTACTGTTCCCACCTCACTCCGTTTGGCTCTCTGCTCGAGTGAAGCTCTTGTAAGTCTCCCCTCCATATACCCCTCAGACAGAACCAGTTTCAATAGGTCAGCTAACAATTTACACCGTAATAGTGGCGTGGCCTGACTCCAAGCCTGGGGGGAGCGGGAGGGTGGGGAAATGATGTGAAGAGGAAGGTCTTCTGACGTGACCTGAACAGGAGGAAGGATGGGAAAAGGCAGAGGGATAGGGGATTCACTGTTGTATTGCTTGGGGCAGCCCATTCCCTAGACCTGATCCACCTTCAAAAAGTGGCAGCACATTATTAAGTGAGGAAGACCTGGAAAAACTCATGTCTGTACATTGCAGCAGTTGTTACCAATGATCTTCTCCCCCCACTCCCCCATCTCAACTAACCGAGCGCAGTGGTCTCCCCGAGGGAAGGGGGACTTACCGAGTGGTTTGGCGATGCTGGGGGACGGTTCAAAACCCGAGGATTTTTCCGCGCTAAATCCTCGATCTTCAGCCAGATCTCCTCCCGCTCCTTGATCTTAAACTTCTCCCTGTGTTGGAAATAATAATAATCATCCTTGCATTTGATTATAGTGCCTTAACTCATCGTTGAGATGTCTCAAAGCTCTTCACAGAGCATATTGTAAAGTGGATTGATTGTATTTTGTGGGTGTAACGCGGCAGCCAATTGCACACAGCATTATCCCACAAACAAACAATCGTGGATTGGGTGACCAAATTTGTATTTATTTATTTGAGAGATCATTATAGTGATCCGTCAATCGACTCACAACCAGGTTCTTATTTACTGCTGGTAAACAGAGGCGTGTGGAGTAAGGAAGTTTGTCTAAGGGTTCGCCTTGCCCGTGAATTGAACCCGGATCCTCTCGCTTGGAGTCGAGTGAGCTAACCACTGCACAACATGACTCCACAGGAAAGAGTCATTAGATGACTTGTTCTAAGACAGACACCTCAAAGTGGGCCCAACCGCCATACCCACAACCCCCGTACAGCCAAGCTGAGACCTGGGAAGCTCCCCCACATTGAGGGTGCCCCTATAATTGCTCACTTCTGTTTCTCTGCCTTGTACTGTTGAGTGCAATCGTCGAAGAGTTTCTGATTCATCTCCATGAAGAGTTTGAGAGCGTTGTAAATCAGCCCGTGTATAGTCCTGCGGAGCGAGAGCACTGAATCAGTCATGACTGCCCTGAACGCTAACCCTCGTCTCTTCCCCCAATCCCCAAAGCCCATATTGCCTCAGGCAACTACCCTGGTACTCTGCGCCCCCCCCACCCAGAACCAATGTCGTTCCCCACCCTCAAATTCCCACCCCCAGTCCCTTACAGGCAAGCAGCTCGCAACCTAACTTCAGTGACAGGTTATCCTGTTCTTCTGGAGAAAGTTCATCTCTGCCTGACACACAGGGGTTGAAGCAGTCAGAACCTGCAAATGTTAGCTCACCCCCACACACACCCCCACACACACACCGAAGAGCGCGTACAAGTGAAGTTACACTCACTTGTTCCAGTGACTCTTGGAGTTTTTGTACAGGGCAGGGAACATTATAGGTAGGATCTTGGCAGCATTGTCACTGATTAAACTCATAATGTATTCATTGTTCCAGTAATACAGAGCTCTCTCTGCCACCTGCAACACAGCAGTAGTTTGTCAAGAGCTTGTGGGGAAGGCAAGTTATACTGAATTATATTGTCCCACCCAGCACTCCCAGACCAGCTACGTTAGATATAGAATAAAGCTCCATCCCCACTGAGCTCTACATTTTTTTTATTATTGTTGAGCGAGGTTAGGCCTGCTTACCCCCATTACCCGAATTAGAACGAATACATTCCACTAGGAAAGGAGGGTTGTCCCCGCAGACAAGCCCCAAACTCTTCAAAGCCCCAAATTGTCTGAAGACAATGTGGACCTGATACCTTTCTATACGACCACCCGAGCAAGTCAGGTGACGGGATGGCCTCTCCAGCAGGGCAAGCCCAGCCTGAGCCTAGTGACCAAGTGTTCAAGTCAGCTTTGCATTCAGTATCTCCTCTTCCTCTTTTGAGGGCAGATCACACTCCTTAGATCGGAAGTACAGCAGTACCGATCCCAACCAACAGAGGGCTTAGCTATTACCAGGAGCTCAATCATTTCCTCTGTATCCAGCAGACCCAAGTGAACGGGGTGAGGGGGGAGGATGATAAATGGGTGTCTTGCCCATGGACAGAAAGACCCACACTCCCGAGAGCACCTCCCGGAAGTCGAGGCTTACCTGAAAGTGCGGGCTGGAGACGCATTTGGCGAGTTGACGGAAGAGCGGCTCCATGACTTTAACAAACTCCGAGGGCTCAATGACATCGAGAATTTCTTCCAGTTCATTCAGGAACATCACCTCCTTGGGACTGTGCGTCTTTGGCCAGAATTTCAACAAACCTACAATCACCTGGGACAGGAGCAGATACACAGCAGGCGTCAGACACGGTCTGTGACATGAAGTGTCAGCAACAGAAATGAATGTGAAGCACTTTTCAAAATAAAGGGAAAGATCAGGATACCAATAATGCACAAAGATCAATTTCTATATGAATCGTTTCCACGGTAGATTTTAGATATAAAAATGCATTTGTAAAACAGGTTACAATAAATCTTAATAATCCTTGTAATAATCATCCTTGCATTTGATTATAGCGCCTTATCATGTCGTTGAGATGTCTCAAAGCTCTTCACAGAATATACTGTAAAGTGGATTGAGTATTTTTTGTAGGTGAAAGGCAGCTGCCGATTGCGCACAGCAGTTCACAAACAAGTCATGGATTGAGTGACCAAATTATTTATTTGAAGGGATTATTACCCCTGGAAAGCTAATCGACTAACAACAGAGTTCATACTTACCACTAGGTTAACAGAGGCATGTGGAGTAAAGAAACTTGCCTAAGGTTTTGCCCTGCCCGGGAATCGAACCTGGGTCCCCTAGCTTCCAAGGCGAGTGCTCCAATCAATACCCTAAGGGGCAGATATTATTGATATCTTCTAACTTTTCTTATCTTTCCAGAATAAAAGGATCTCAAATCCTCTAAAACTTACCTATGATGCTCACCATTGACAGTGGAGGAGGAGTGGACTAAAGATGAATAATTCTTTATAAAACAAGAAAAACACAAGAGAAAATGAGGGGAAGCCACGAGGCCAGGTTATGCTCCTGCACTTACCGGCTCTGTGAGGCTGCTGTCCTTCTCCAGGAACTGCACCACACAGTAGGCCAGCTTTGAAGACAGAAGAGACACAGTGAGCCTCAATAATTTATACATTCATTCATGTCATCCATCAGATATACTGCCCCCACGACCCTGCAAACACTGGGACATTTTCACACCAGATCTTGAACAATAAGTTACATAGCAACTCATTAAGTCTTAACATCTCGAAGTAATTTACACAACGAGGTACTTTGAAGTTTAGTGACCTATATCAGTACATGTGGCAGCAACTATCCCTACACAGCAAAGAAATGACCAAATTACTAAAGTGAAAGTGGCGAGCAAGGAATATTTGCTAGGACACCGGGAAAAACTCCTCTGTCTTCTTCCAACTAGTCACAGGATCTTTAATGTCAGTCTCAACCATTGGGACAGGCAAGTAGGACTTCTGTTTATTGCCTGACCCGCAGGATGGAACATTGTATACTATGCTGAATTGTCAACATAGGGATTCAAAGTTAGAGGCCAGATTGTGACAATTGACCTGGGAGGAAAGGTACAATATATGTAATAATACTTGCATTTGATACAGCGCTTTCTGATGCCTTAAAGCGCTTCACAGAATATATATTAAAGTGAATTTTGTGGTCGAAACGTGGCAGCCAATTGTGCACAGCAATGTCCCACAAACAGTAGATTGAGTGACCAAATTATTATTTTATTTATTTGTTTTATTAGAGGGATTATTACTCCTGGAGAGCGATCAGCTGATCAACTGACAACCGGGTTCCTACTTACTGCTAGGTAACCAGGAGTGTGGAGTAAGGAAGCTTGCCCAACGTTTCACCCTGCTGGGAATCAAACGCAGGTCCTCTTGCTTGCGAAGCGAGTGTTCTAACCACTACGCTAACATGACAGTGATCTGATTGAGGGGTTCAGGTGACTTGATGGAACATGGCCCTGATCATCACAGAAGAGGATGCACCAGCTCAGCTCGACTCTAACAAGGCGAGGGAAGACCCTCAAACGATCATTACACATATCTTTGCTGTCTGTAATCAATCCCGTGATCCATAAAGTTACTGGTTCACCATACCCGACCCCTCCACCCGCCCCCGAGGTGCTTAGTACCTGTGGGTGGTAGACACTGAGGCTCTTGACTTTGTGCAGAGGCAGTAACACTCTGATCAGGAACATTTTATGCTCTTCTTTCAGAGGTAAAGCAAACCCGTTGATTATACTGAATGAGGAAAAGAGGCAGAGAAGTGAGATCCCAAATCCACTGACCTGTGTCCCACACCAACTACTCATAGAATCTTATAGCACAGAAGGAGGCTATTTGGCCCATCGTGCCTTTGCCGGCTCTTTGAAAGAGCTACCAACTAGTCCTCCTCCCCCACTTCTAACCAAAACCCTGAAAATGTTTCTTTTTCAAGTACATATCCATTTCTCTTTCGAAAGCTATTATCGAATCTGCTTCCACCACCCTTTCAGGCAGTGCATTCCAGAACGTAACAACTTGCTGGGTAAACAATTTCTCCTCATCTCCCCGCTGTTTTTTTTTGCCAATTAGATTTAAATCCGTTTTAAATCTCTGGTTAGCGACCCACCTGCAATGGAAACAGTTTCTCCTTATTTGCTATATCAGAGCCCCTCATGCTGTGCCCTAAACCCACTGAGCTGTGTCCCACAGAAATTGTCATATCCTAATATACAGATCAGAGGCTGCAAAGTGCAGCTTGTGAAATAAGCAGTCCAGAGATCTTCCAATTTATCTTCACTTAAACTGATTTGTAAACAGCCAATTCCAGTATTGACATAGCGACCAATGCTGTTCCCATCACCATCACTCACAGCTCAGGCTCACCCCATCTACTCTTTCTCCACCCAACAGCAATCCAAATGGGAAGTTGTTTAAATCTTCAACAGCCTAACAGAATCCCTGTGGGAACTCGCTCTTCCTGACCTCAGCAATCCCCAGCCTACACCACTGCCCCTTTGTTTGCCTCGCATTGCCCCATTCCTTCCCATATCCCAGCCTTCCCAATGAACTGCCCCAGTGTAAGTTCCAGCACTAATCATCTCGGACTCTCCCCTCTGTGGCAGTTAAATAAAGCGATCACTAACCTGCCCAGTATTTCCAGGAGTTCTGCAATCCCGTTGTGATGCTCAGTTTCATATATAAACCTGAATAAAAACAGGGGGAAGAGAGAAACACACAGACACACAACAATTAACAACAACAAAATTACACTTGTAAAGCGCCTTTCATGTCGAGAGGACGTCCCAAGGAACATGACAGAGAGACAGGTCCAGGCATGTGTGCGTGCGCGTAGGATCCGCAAAATGTTCATAGAACAAAGTTACATTGACAGAACTGGACGGGGAAAGATGGTTGAAAGACGTGGGGTTAAGGGAACATTAAGGCCATTCAGCCTCTCGAGCCTATTCACCATTCTATAAGACCATTTACCCGCCTTTGCTCCATATTCCTTGATACCCTGACCTAACAAACATCTATCCACCTCAGTCTTAAATTTGAATTGATCCAGCGTCCACAACCTTTTGGGGGATAGAGTTCCAGATTTCCATTACCACATTAAGCGCCATCATTGGCATGGCAGATACTGATCCATCACCAAGTTCGGTGTGACATCTCTGACAGTGTGTTTCAACTTCTCCAGTCTCATATCTGTTTTGTGTCAGGGGGTAACAGGAATTTGTGGACACTCTGTAGATCGAGTTGGAGAGGCATTCCCAACAGTCAACATACAGAATAAAAACTTTCCCTTATAATGGGATTAGGTCCAAGATCCCCTCATTTGGCTGAAAACACAGAGGGTTTGTACATCAGAACGTTCTGCACGACTGATCCAGGTGGGCAGTTTTTAAAAATATATATTTTTTAGACTGAAATGTTTCTTAAAACAGGTCATTGTTTTGCAGTCATTCTGGCAAATTGTGCCTCTCCTCCCTTTGAAAATCTCCCATCATCAGCCCCCTCCTCCACCCATGATCCCTCCAACCTCCCTTTCCTCCCAGAACAGGCTCCATGACCCTATCATCCCCACCTTCACCCGGCTCCCTATCCCAGAGGAAGAGTTCAAAATCCTCATTCTCGCTTTCAAGGCCCTCCACGACGTTGCTCCTTCCTACCTCAGCAACCTGCTAACCCCATATCAACTTGTGTGCTTTCTTCGCTCAGCAGACTGTGGCCTGCTCCACATCTCCGGCCTGGCCCGCTCCACCATCATCGTTCGGGCCTTCAGCCTCTCTACCCCCCACTACTTGGAACTCTATTCCCTTTGCCCTCCTCACACCCTTGGCTCCTTCAAGGTCCGTCTCAAGACCCTTCTCTTCAACCGTGTCTTTGGCCAGCCTCCTACACTGGGATGTCCTCCTGACATGAAAGGCACTATACAAATGTAATTGGTGTTGTTGAAACTTAACATGGACAAGATGGAAGCCATGCTCCTTGGTTATCCTACGTGAAGGGCGCTCTATAAATGCAATTTGTTGTTAATGTTTGTTGTAGGTATATAAGACTTGATGTCAGCAAGTCTTACACATTGCTGGAACAGGGCCCTGAGACTAATAAAAGACAGATTGGCTCCTTACCCCCAATCTCTAGGAAATGAATGGTGTTGAGGGATGAACAACAACATCATTGACGCCAACAAAATTACATTTGTGTAGCGCCTTTCATGTCGAGAGGACGTCCCAAGGCGCTGGACAGAGAGTTTCGGATCCCAGCTGGAGTGCAGGGTGGGGAAGCAGGGAGATCGAAAGCACGGTCGAAGAGGTGGGTCTTGACGGTGGCAAGGGAGGGGGTGAGATGGAGGGACTGCGGGATGGAGTTCCAGAGGGTAGGGGAAGAGTGGCAGAAGGCCCACACGCCAAGAGTTGGGCGAGCGAGGCGGAAGGAGTGAGCGAGTAGGATGGTAGGGGGTTAGGAAGTTGCAGAGCAAGACCATGGAGGGCTTTGAAGGCGAGGACCAGGATCTTGAGCTGCATCCTCTGTGTGATGGGAGCTAGTGGAGTTGGGTGAGGATGGGGGTGATAGGGTCACGGAGCCCAGTGCGGGAGAGGATGTGGGCTGCAGAGTTCTGGATGATCTGCAGCCTATGGAGGGAGGAGTTGGGGAGACCAACAAGCAATGAGTTTGCATAGTCAAGCCTCGACGTATGAGGGTTTTGGTGGCCTGCGGTGTGAGACAGTGGCGGTGCCGGGCGATGTTGCGGAGGTGGGGGAAGGCAGAGCGGATAATAGAGCAGATGTGGGGTAGAAAGGATAGTTGAGGGTCAAACAAGATTCCAAGGTTCCGGACCGGCTTAGCAAAGTGGAGTGTGCATCCTTGAATGGTGATGCTGTCAGTGCCTGAGGTGTGGAGGCGCTGATGGGAGCCAATCAGGAGAGTCTCGGTCTTGTTGACATTCAACTGAAGAAAGTTAGCTCTCATCCACGACTTGATGTCTGACAGATATTCTGTCAGGATAGTAGTGGTCCTGGAGTCAAGGGTGGAGGCAGAGATGTATAGTTGGATGTCATCCACATACATGTGGAAGTTGATCCCGTGCCTGTGGATGATGTCACCAAGAGGGAGCACATAGATATTGAAGAGAAGGTGACCAAGGACAGAGTCCTGAGGAACGCCACAAGACGGTGCAGGGGCTAGAGGAGAAACCCCTTGTGGAGATGAAGTGGAGGCGATGTGAGAGGTACGATCTGAACCAGTCAAGAACAGAGCTGTGAAGGTTGAGGTGAGAGAGGGGTGGATGAGGATAGAGTGGTCGATGTTGTCGAAGGCAGCAGAGAGGTCAAGGAGGACGAGGAGGCAGAGGGAGTACTGATCACAGATGGACAGAATGTTATTTGTCACTTTTGACCAGGGCTGTTTCTGTGCTGTGGGCAGCACGGAAACCTGATTGGAAGGGTTCGTGAAGGGAGTGGCGGGAGAGGAAGGAGCAAAGCTAGGAACAATTTGTTCCAGGTCCTTGGAGAGGAAAGGGAGGTTGGAGATGGGACGGTAATTTGGGAGTAGAGAGGGGTCCGGGGAGGGCTTTTTAAGGATAGGGGTGATGACGGTGGTTTTTAATGGGTGGGAACAGTACCATTGGACAGGGGGAGGTTGACATTCAACTGAAGAAAGTTAGCTCTCATCCATGACTTGATGTCTGACAGATATTCTGTCAGGACAGCAGTGGTCCTGGAATCAAGGGTGGAGGCAGAGATGTATAGTTGGATGTCATTCACATACATGTGGAAGTTGACCCCATTGAACATGCCAGTTCTAAACATTTTCAGTGATGTTCTTCAGGATATTGGTCCTCATGATAAAGGTCCACCTGATCCACACCGTTAAAATATTTGATATAAAAATTCTTGCATTTGATACAGCACCCATTAATAATAATTCTTGCATTTGATATAGCGTCTTATCACGTCATTGAGATGTCTCAAAGCGCTTCACAAAATATATTGTAAAGTGGATTGATTGTGTATTTCGTAGGCAAAACGCGGTAGCCAATTGCAGTGTCCCACAAACAGCCATGGATTAAGTGATCAATTTTATTTTATTTGGGGAATTTTTGTCCAGGACACTGGGAGAGAGAAATTCCCTTCTCAAATGGTGCTGTGGGATCTTTAACGTCCACCTGAATAGGCAGACGGGACCTGAGTTTAAAATCTCATCCGAAGGATGGCATCTCTGACAATCCAACACACTCCCAGGACTGCATTAGAGGGTCAGCTTAGACTATACAGAAATAATTCCATTGAATATCCCTAAAATGCTTTCAAGAGTAGCTTTCTCCAACGATGCAGTGTTACTTCCTCCCATACTTCGCTGTATTGTCAACCTGGAGTGTGAGCTCAACGCTCTGATGTGGAGTTTCCTCCTCAATATGATATTCCAGAGAAGAAAAGTTTCTTCAGTGGTAACTAGAGGTAATAAGAGAAACCTCATTGGACATTGTGTGTTCACTCAGGCTTCCCTGATCCAAACTGAAAGGAACTTACCTGTAAAATATATTATTGATTTGTCTCCGGATGTAGGCTCGCAAGCCGAGGAACTTGCCATAGATTCTATGGAGGATGGTCTTGAGAAAGTCTCGCTCCCTGGGATCTTCACTGTCAAACAACTCCAGCAGCTAGAAGTACACATGAGACATCTTTCAACTTCTCCACTATAGCGATATCACTCTGACCCACATAGTTCTGTAGTGGTAGGGGCAGCGCTCACTATCCAAGCATAATTTAAGGTTACATGCAGGGTTGCTAATTCCGTGCTTTCCGTCACTTAAGAACAAAAGAAATGCCAGATGAAAATAGACCAAGATCCATCCAGTTTGCCTTCCACAATCCTGGCAGTCGCATGCACATGTCATGTCCCAAACTATCATAGAATCATATAGCACAGAAGGAGACCATTTGGGCCCATCGTGTCTGTGCCAGCTCTTCTAAAAGAGCTATTCAAATCAATCGCACTCCCCCATTCTCTCCCCACAGCCCTGCAAACTTGTCTTCCCCAAAGAATTATCTACTTCTCTCTTAAAAGTTATCGAATCAACTTTCACCACCCTTTCAGGCAATGTATTCCAGATCCGAACAACTCGCTGTGTGAAAAAATGTCTCCTTACCTTCCCTCTATTTCTTTTAACAACTATTTTAAATAGGTGTCCTCAGGTTGCGAACCCACCTGCCAGTGGATACTGTATTCCAAGATGTTATTTCCTAAAAGAAATCTATCTAATTTGCTTTTGAAAGAAGAAATACTTTCTGCTTCCACCATCTCCCTAGGGAGCCTGTTCCATACATTTACTGCTCGGTCACTACAGTAGAACCTCACTAATCCGGTCACTCAAGTGACCGGGCAAAAGTGACTTACTTAGTGAGGTGACCTGATTACTCAAACAGGTCGGGTGATTCAGGTCACTGATATAATGTTAAGGGCATTGGCAATGGGCAAGGGCGATGAACATTCAACAGTCATACTTTACAATCTCATTAGAATAAAGGCATTGTCACATTTAAAAAAGCTGTCATGTATTCAGCCTACCTTTTGAGAACGCATCCAACTTGTGTTCTGCGAATGCCATAGATCACAGCTAACGGTCTTCGACTTTTGCCCTTACTGTTTTTGATTAAGTCCACTCACACATAAAGACAACTCCTTCCATGGTTGCACGTTTACAACACTTGTCCAGATATACAACATCCTTATCAAGCTCCTTTGCCACACAGTCAAAGAAAACCAGGAAATTAGTTTGGTAGGACCCCCCCTTCATAAACCCATATTGGCTAACTTTCATGATTTTATTGCTGCCCAGGTGCTCCATGATCCTATTTTTAATAAGAATCTCCATAACTTTACCCACAATGGATGTCAAACATACTGGCCTGTACTTTCCTGGGTCACTTTTGCTCCTTTTTTGAAAAATAGGTGTAACATTTGCCTATCTCCAGTCACCTCTCAGCAATTTATCCGAATTTGTTTACCTTACACAGTTGTTTGGCAATCATGCTGGTAGTGATGTGAATCGTGTCATAACTTATTTCTGCAACATCTTTGAGTGATTTCTTGTGAAGAGCAGTGAAAGTAAACACAACTCTTCAACCCTCCCGATACACACTCTTCACAATAACCCACTCCCAACATTCATGCTCTACACAACCGACAAGAACAACCTGCATTTATATTATGCTCCTCACACAGGCTAGCGTCCCAGAGCGCTTTGCTATCCACCCAAACACACTTTTTTTCACAAGCCCAGTCACCTCCCCCACCTGGTCACACTGTATCCTGCACCCCTCAGACTCACCGACATGACGAATTTCTGGTCAATGTATTTCTTGGCTATATTTGGTTGAAAATCAGTAGATTCAAGGAATCGCAGGAAAAATTCATAAACAAGCTATAAGAAAAGATGGGAATTAATATGGATCTATCATTACAATACTTTAATGAACAGAGATATTCTAGAGCGCACAAGTCAAATATTCTCCCCATCCCTGTTCCACTGAGTAGCACCTTCCTGTGGCTTAGCTAGCTTTGAGACATACTTATCTCACCGGCACTAACAGGTCAAGTACAGCATGGATTTCAGAGGAAAGCTCCCTTTCATTGTCCCATTTAGCATCCTGTCGTCCACAACAGATTAAATACTGAGTAAAGCTCCCACCACACTTTCCAACTCAACACTCTCTGTGTGAGAGACAAGGCGGCTGTCTCAGTTGCATGTAATTAATTTTAATATTGTGTCCTCTACACAAGGGGTAGAAATCTGTTTATTTCTGTTGATTTCCTAAACACCTCAATCAAAACTAGACATGTCAGGAGGATGTCTCAAGATTGGTTCGCATAATTTAATCTGCAATATTAATAATCCCTTAAAAAATTATTGATTTAGCCAATCAATCCACAACTGTTTGTGGGACTCTGCTGCGCGCAATTGGCTGCTGTGTTTCAGCCACAAAGTACAGTCAATCCATTTTACAGTATATTTTGTGAAGCACTTTGAGGTGTCTCAACGACATGATAAGGCGCTATATCAAATGAGACGATTCTCATCATTATATACATATTTTGGAGGTGAACGAGGTGGGCAAGTCGAGCTTGGAGATTACCTGGAGATGGGGCCATGCGGCCTCCAGCGTTGGCTCATCCTCCTCCGGGTCAAACTCGGCTCCAGTTGGATTGGATGAAGGTGGCAGCGTCCGGAACAGATTCACTGAAAACTGAACGCATCACAGAGTTACTAACCCACCGCAACTCTCCACGCCTCAAGTACTAAACCACTCCAACTGTTCACAATGCACAGTCAATCCCCGTCCCATCCAACCTTCCCTCGTGTTCTGCCACCTGAGCAAGCCTGCCGTCTCTCTTCTCCAGGAACTGCTCCACACAGTAGGCCAGCTTCAGAGACAGAAAGCCTCAACTGTTCACATACATTCACATGATCCATCAGAAATGTTGCTCTGCATGACCCTTGAACAATACATTACCTAAGAACTCATTACGTCTAAAAGTGCTTCACACAACAATGTTCTTTGAAGTGCATCAGCAAATGCAGCAGCAGCAATCTCCACACAGTGAGGAGATGTTCAAATAAACTTTTTTTAAAAAAAGTGAGGAATATTGGCCAGGCCACTGGGAGAAACTACTCAGTCTTCTTCCAAATAGTCACAGGATCTTTAATATCAGTCTGATACATTGTGACAGGCAAATAGGACTTGTTTATTCCCTGACCCACAGGACGATACAACAACAACAACAACAACAAGATTCCATTTATTGAGCGCCTTTCACGTCGGGAGGACGTCCCAAGGCGCTGTACAGTTGGGTCAGGACCCGAGCAGGGGGGAAATGGTCAGGGTGAGGGGAGGGAAGGGAGGGAGCGTGGAGCGGGTAGAGAGTCAAGAGGGGAGCTGAAGGCTCGGTCAAAGAGAAAGGTCTTGAGACCGGCCTTGAAGGAGGAAAGGGAGGAGGCGGCGAAGGCACTGGGGGATAGAGTTCCAGAGCCTCGGGGCTGAGAGGCTGAAGGCCCGGCCACCGATGGTAGGGCGGTTGGGGTGGGGGATGTGGAGCAGACCGGAGCCAGAGGAACGGAGGGTACCGGCAGGTAGGTAGGGGGATAGTAGGTCGGAGAGGTAGGAGGGAGCAAGGCCGTGAATGGCCTTGTAGGTGAGGATGAGGATCTTGAATTCGATCCTCTGGGGGATGGGGAGCCAGTGGAGGCGAGCGAGGGTGGGAGTGATGTGGTCGCGGTGTCTGGTGCGGGACAGTACACGAGCTGCAGAGTTCTGAATGACCTGCAGCTTGTGGAGGGAGGTGGCGGGAAGGCCGGCGAGGAAAGAGTTCCCATAGTCCAGCTTTGAGGTGATAAAGGCGTGGACCAGAGTTTCAGCAGCGTGAGGGGTGAGGTAGTGCATTCCTGCATTCCTGCAGACATTCCGGAGGTGATGGAAGGCGGTGCCAGTTGTGGCGCGGATATGAGGGAGAAAGGACAGCTCAGGGTCGAACAGAACCCCGAGGTTCCTGACTGACTTTGAGAGGTGGAGAGTGCAGCCTTGGATACTGATGCTGTCAGCGCCTGTTGTCAGTACACTGTATACTACACTGAACTGTCAACATAGGGTGTTGGACTCAAAGTCAGTGGCCAGATTGTGACAATTGGCCTGATAGGATAGGTAGAATAATAATCCTTGCATTTGATTTAGCGCTTTATCACATCATTGAGATGTTTCAAAGCGTTTCACAGAATACTGTATACTGTAAAGTGAATTGACTATATATATATATATATATATTGTGGACGAAACATGGCAACCAATTGATGACAGTAGTGTCCCACAACCAGTCGTCAATTGAGTGACCAAATAATTATTTATTTTTAATGTATTATCCCCGGAAAGCAATCTGCCAACCGACTAACAACTGGGTTCCTACTTACTGCAGGAAACAGGTATGTGGAGTAAGGAAACTGGCCTAAGGTTTCACTCTTCCTGGGAATTGAACAGGTCCTCTCGCATGCGAGGCAAGTGCATTAACCACTAAGCTGCTCTCTCTCATCTCCACAGTCTCCCTTTCCCGCCCACTCAAGACACTTGCTCTCTCCCCCACCCTCCACTCCCTCAGACTCACTGTAGAAAGAGTCTGGTTGCCCTCCCACATGCACTTCAACAACAACAACTTGTACATATATAGTGCCCTCCACACAGGGTAGTGTCTCAGAGCACTTAACAGTGACAGATTCTGAATTTGAGTTGGGGGAGGATTGGGGGGGGGTGGGGTGGAGAGAGGTGGGAGGTGGCCATAAGAACAGTCGAACAGGAAAGTTTTCAGGCGGGATTTGAAAGAGGGGAGAGAGGGGGCAAGGGGAGGGATTGTGGGGAGTGTTGCAGACTTTTGGCTGAAAGCATGACCTCCAATGGTGGGGTGGAAGGTGCGAGGGACGAGCAAGAGGCTGGTGCTAGTCGAACGCTGGGTGGTGGAGTGGGGAGTGAGGACGTCGGAGAGGTGGGGATGTGCCAGGGAGTGAATGGATTTGAACATGAGAGTGAGGATCTTGAAGTCAATCAGTTCGCTGTTGGGGAGCCAGTAGACCCTAACCTGAACTGGTGAGATGTGGATACGAAGTTTGGTTCAGGTCAGTATGTGAGCAGCAGAGTTTTGAATGAGCTGGATCTTGTGAATGGTGGAGCTGGGAAGACCAGCAAGAAGTGCATTGGAATAATCCAAGCAGGAGGTGACAAACGCATGCACAAGGATTTTGGCTGCATTTGGGATAAGATATGTTCGGAGGCAAGCACTGTGCAGAGGTGAAAGCAGTCCTGGTCAGGGACCGGATGTGAGGGAGGAAGGACAGTTGGGGATTGACACCTAGGTTGCGCACTGGTGCGGTGAGTCTGAGGGAGAGCCCAGGGAGGTTGACGAGTTTAGATCCGCAGGAGTGAAAATGTTGACAGGAGCCAAGGAGTGTGGCTTCCGTCTTGTCCATATTCAGCTGCAGGAAGTTTATACACATCCAGGCCTTGATGTCTGCCAGACAAGCTGATAGAACATTGGCAGACCTGGAGTTGGTACTGAAGGAAGCATGGTAGATTTTTGTGTCATCCGCATACATGTGGAAATTTACACCCATGTCTGCGGATGACATCGCCCAGAGGAAGCATATAAATAAGGAAAAGAATAGGGCCAAGGATGGAGCCCTGGGCGACCCTGCAGGTGACCTGGCGGGAGCAGCAGGGGAAACCATTTGCTGAGATGAAATGGAGGCAGTTGGTTAAGTAGGACTCGAACCATGTGAGTGCGGTCCCACTAAAGGTAGATGCGGGAGGAGAGCCGATGGAGGAGGATGGCTTGGTCGACTGCGTCGAACGCAGCAGAGATCCTGGAGGACGAGGAGGTGGAGGGAGTCCTCGTCACAAATAGAGAATATCATTTGTGGCTTTGACAAGCGCGGTCTCTCTGCTGTGGGCAGGGAGAAAACCAGACTCCAGAGGCTCGAGGAGGGAGAGGTGTGACCGAAGTTGATCTGCAACAATGCGTTCCAGGACTTTGGCAAGGAAGGGTAGGTTGGAGATGGCGCGGTAGTGTGCGAGATTAGAGGGACCGAGGGTGGGTTTTTTGAGGAGGGGTGTGAATACAGCGGCTTTCAGAGGGAGTGGAACAGAGCCTGAAGAGAGAGACTGGTTGACCATGTCGCCCAGCAGGGGGGAGAGAAGGGAGAGTTGAGTGACCAGCAGCTGGGTGGGGAGGGTCAAGGTAGCAGACAGTGAACTTCATTGGGTGATTGTGGTTGATAGGGAGGAGGGAGAAATGGGGGCAAAGGAGTGTAAGGAGGGGGTAGTGGCAGGAGCCCTGGCGGAGGGAGAAGGTGGTGTGGATGGTCTTGGTGGGGTGGAAAGGAACATGGGGGGAGAAGAACAATGCAGCCAAGCAGATGTTTTCAATTTTTGAGACAAAGTACAGGACCTCTTTGCACTTGGCGTTTGACATGAGGATAGAGGGAGTTTGACGGAGTTCATAGAGGAGGTGATGGGACGGTGGAAAACAGCATCTTTGGATTGTTGTTTTGCCTCCAGGATGAATTTAAATACTTACCATATTAACTCCCTCGGGGTAAATGGCCTCGGTCACTACGTCCCGGTTGTGTGTGATGTACTCCACCATCTCGTTCAGCCCCGCCCGCTTCACCTCCTTGTACTTCAGGTCGCTCAGAGGGTCGGAAACAAAGTCGAAGAGGACGCAGCATTGCCGCAGCTTCTGGACAAAGAGGTCCTCGCGCTCGTGAGTCAGGGCATCTACAGGACAGAAACACACTCAACTCAGTGTCCCATGGTCAGTTAACCGAGCGGGCAGTGCCAGAGGAGAACGGTTGGAACCAGGCTGCAGGAGGGAGGGAAGGGTTGGCAGCACCAGGAAATTCCAGGGGGGGAAAAGATGTACAAGATGTGCAGGGTGTTCACAACGTCCTGTAAGCACCCCCAGTCCATTACAAAACCGGGATGAAAACTGAAACAAGCTGTCAGAGATGCATTTGGCCTTGTTACTCCATCCATGTTACAGAAGAAGATGTGGCACCAGAAATGACGACCGATCATTATCTTCCATGAAAATGATGGCACTCACTCACACCGATCCTCTGGACATCTAAATAGAGTTAAACACTTGTACTGAATACAATTAAGTACTTCTAAATACAATTATCATCATTCTTCCACAGGTTTCAGTTATTGGTCAGCGCACTGTAAAGAGAAAAAAAGGCAGGGATACCAGGACTTTGTGGACACCCTGCACATATTACAGAATAAGAAGTTTATGAGCTATCAGTGTTGTGTCACCAACACTAAGCTGTGTACCTAGTCTCAGCTAGAAATTATTTTCTTACTAATTTTCTCTTTCCAATGCTTCTTTTTTTCATTGTGTACTGAGGTGGCCTCTCTCCCCCATCCCACCACGCACCCCATGTGAGTTATGATGAAGAGGGTCAGTAGGGTAGTCCACAGTGAGAGAGGGAGGGATGGATGGATGGATGGATGGATGGAGAAGGAGGTTCACAGCCAAGCCCTGATCCTGTCTTCACCCAAGCCTGCATGTTTGCACCTACTAGCCGGAGTATCTGTCCAGCAGTCAAGATCGGATGGAGGAAACACTATCACCAGGTCCTCATTTGCTCCACCCACAGGTGAAGCTATCCTCCCAGTTCTAAGGCGCCACGTATAGGCAGTTTTCACTCAAAACAACCCTAACAAGATTCTGTTACTCCAAAAATAACCAGAGTAATCTTAAAGCTTGGATAGGGACTTGACAGCAACCAGCTCTGGGACTACAGGTGCCATTTTGGCTCTGGGTAGGAATGCTGTGGGATCAAGTCTACACTGTTGGACTTGAGTTCCAAATCAGTTCAAAAAAGAGAAATAAGACAAAGTCAGAAACCGAATAAATTCCCCTCTCCCTCAATCTCTAGGTTCACACAGGCCAAAGCATCTTTAGGTGGGGTAACAGGTTGCTAAAAAAGGCTCCCATTCCTAAAAGTATCCAGAGTTAGGAGGTGATTAATACGAGTAGAGCAAAGACATTTAAGTGGTTTTGATAAGAAACTGAATAAGACTTGGGTGAATGTACGATTTAGACATTGAAATGATTTATAAAGATAAGACACGCAAATTTTACTGTGATTATCCTGTTTGACACTATAGGCTTATCAACTGCAGGAATTGTTATTAGAATTGTCCCCTGCTATTAATCTATCTCACCAGGCACTGTGACCACACTAGCGCTGTGTATCAAGGGTTAACATAATAAGATTCCCCATCGACACCCATTGTCAAGACTCAGGCACGACTAATAGCCATGGGGGGGGGGGGGGGGGGGGGGAGAGAGAGAAGTGAAAGACAAAGACCAGCAGAATCGATACCCAGCAGGAAGAAGAAGAAATGCCAGATTATATTAAATTATTGTCACAGAACATTTCAGATTCCCTCCCCGCCTTGTGTAAATCGCTGGGGAGGGATGCTGCAGAGAAGGCCGTGCACCTGAAAGGTTTAGAAAGGTCACCTCATCAGTGAGCAGTAGCTCTGCAATGCAGCTCTTGCCTATAGCCTCCCCCCCACCGCCCCCCCCCCCCCCCAACACCAGGCAGCCTGTCAGGCTTTGCATGACATCATCTCTTGCTGCAGCTGAATGCCTCTGATCCAGCACAGAACACGTGTTGCATCGGAGAGAGACCGACTGTCTACACAGGGCCGCTTTATCCAATAATTACAGTTCTAATCCAATCAGCAGGATTAGTCCAGAAAGCCTCTCGCTATCATTGAGCCGGACCAGCCCCACTTTTCTTGGCCTATTTACAGGCTGACTTGTTTTAAATCGTCCATAAGTCAACCCAGAACCGATGGTGTGTTGTTTCTATTTCCTCTTCCACACAAACACAATCCGAACAACCATTACAGTTTTCTCACTCAATTACAGGTGATTCACAGAGAGCGCTACGCACACTGGCTTCTCAGGACTGAGGGTCAGAGAGAAAAATAATCAGGCTGGGGCCTCACTCCCAGTTAGAGACAAGCGACACAGCTCCACAACCCTTGCTGGATCAATTAAAATTTTCAAGACTGAGGTGGACAGATTTTTGTTAGGTGAGGGTATCAAGGGATATGGAGCAAAGGTGGGTAAATGGAGTTGAGGTACAGATCAGCCATGATCTAACAGAATGGCAGGACAGGCTCGAGGGCCTAAGTAGCTTACTCCTGTTCCTATATTCTGACTCCCCCTCTCTCTCCCACATAGAGCAACACACAGACATAATTACAGATATGTCACTCCTGAACACCAACGGCCTCAGAATATTTCATCACCCCATCCACCCCTTAGGCGCTATTTAAAAGTAATCTTTTGTTTTTCACAGGAGTTTTTGTAGCACTCTGAGACCCTGCGTGAAGGGCGCTATATCAAGCAAGTTCTTCTAAAATGTAATGATTGTATTTTGATAATTATAATCCAACTCCACTGTTATGCAGCACTCCAAGGCACCATTTTCTGTGAATAGTGCTATACAAATGCAATTGTGGCTTTATTCTGTTATTGTGGCTTTAACATCCATCTGAATTGGCAGACAGGATCTCTGTTTAACGTCTGATCTAAAGGACAGAACATCCAATGCAGCACTCACCTATCATTGTACTGGAGTGTCAGCCTAGATTATGAGCTCAAAATCTTATATGGTAAATTTGGGGCCAGGACACTGGGAGAAAGTAGTGCCATGGGATCTTTAATTTCCAACCTGAGCTTGGTCTGGAGGGAGGTGACATATCAATTTAACGTCTCATCCGAAAGCCATTACTTATCCAGAGGCCACGGTTCAGCAGAGAGACAGAATTAGCCAATTCCGTTTCCCTCCTGCCATGAAAGCACTGACAATGCTGCAGCACTTCCCTCAACTGCCTGACTCACAACGAGAGTGGAGGGAGGGGAAGAAATTTTTGTTGGGTCAGCCGGATGTCTGACACGTGGGAACCATCACCGTGCTTAAAGAGTATCCAAACCAAACTGAGAATTCCATGGATCCCACCTACATGTGGAAATTCCAGATAGACTGTTGGAATGCTCACTCTCTCCCTGGTTACCCAATGCCAGAAAGTATTAGGCGCAGGTTAGCAAGAACCAAGGCTTGGGAAAGAAACAGCTTCAATTTACATCTATGTAGAACCTTTCATGTTGGGAGAATGTCTGAAATGCTTCATATAACTGACTGGGAAACCCAATCAGCTGGGGAGGGAGAAGAGAAAAATGGCTGAAAGCACAGTCAAGGACAAAGGCTTTAAAGCTTTGTCTGGAATGAAGTGGCCGAGAGCAGGTGTAGAGCGGCTGAACACTCGCTCACTGCGAAGGCAGGATTGTCAAGCAGGCCGGTGTTTGCTAAGCAGAAGAGTCGCAAAGATTAGAGGAGCGAGGAATTTGCAACAAGAAGTTGCATTTATACAGCGCTCTTCACACAGGGTAGCATTTCAGAGTGCTTAACAGTGGCGGAGCCTGAAACACGAGTACAAGAATCTTGAATTTGATCTGCGGGGGGATGGCGGAGAACACAGCAGAGTTGAACGAGCAATGGGCTCGGGGAGGCTGATGTGGGAGAGGACATGGGCTGCAGAGCTCTGTATGGGCTAAAGCTTCAGCATGAAGGAGCTGGAAGGTGATGAAGGTATGGACGAGGGACTCCGCACGAGCGAAAGAGGTAAATCACAGCCAAACCCGGTCAGTCCGCTTCTCACCCATCATCCACTCACCACCTAGAGATCAGAAGCAGCAACTGTCTTCCTCCCCTTGCCCTCACCTATGTCGCCTTTGCATTCAGTTAGAAATGTCCATCAATTGTAATTTACAGATGAGAAATATGCACATAATATTTAGCCTCCTCTAGCTGGGAGTCTAGGTGCAAGCTCTTGCTTTAGCCCAGCCAGAGGAATGAGTCTGAACAGCTAAGAGAGTATTATTAGTAACAACCAGGTTCCTACTTACTGCTAGGTAAATAGAGGCGTGTGGAGTAAGTAAACTTGCTGAGGCTTTGCCCCGCCTAGGACACAGTTCCTCTCCCTTGCAAGGCGAGCGCTCTATCCATTATGCTACAGGACTCCATATTGGTAAGTATTCAGCGGCTAAGTGAGTACCTTGGTCACTAGTTCAGGCACTGGGTAGCTCTCAATACAAAATGATTGTAACCTCCAATTATTACACACCGGTTGAACAAAAATGAGATGTTAAACTGATATTGCACCTCCTCTTCCACCACCCCCCAGTCCGGGTTCAGTTGGACGTTAAAGATTGCATGGCGCAACTAGAAGAGAAGGATGTTTCTCAAGTCTCTGCATGTACCATTGTCAAGTCTATAAATCATGATTAAAGGGATGGAGATATCTTAATAATAATAAACCTTGCATTTGATTTTGAGCCTTATCAGGTCATTGAGACATCTCAAAATGCTTCGGGATATACAGTAAAGGTGAGTGACTGTATTTTGTGGGCAAAATGGGAATCTTGGAGAGGAATATTATGGGGAATGGGGGGTTTGAGCGGAAAAAAAGAGGAAAAGAAAGCAACTGGAATCGGAGCTTGTGATTTGGTTTAAAATCATGAATGTTGACCGATCTTAAGACAGCTGCAGCATGAATAGCAGAAGCGGCTCCCGAAGTGAAGCTGTTGGTAGATCATTCACACGGAAAATAACAGAAACTTCCCGTGTGGATGCCAGTGGATGTGAATGGCTACCAGTTTGTCTGAGGGAAACTCTCTGCAAATGACCACAGGCACTGTGAGCTCCCTGGCCTCCTGTGCCCATTCTGTCAGACAGGCAGCAAGTTATTTGTTACAGCAGCAAGTCTCACAACACCACAGGAAGAGGAGGGGGCCACTTGTCCCGTGCAACCTGCTCTAATTACCACCGAAGCTCCACTGTCTCTCAGTGAAGCCTCTCCCCCAAATCTGGGATTTGAACCCATCAACCTATCACACTCGCTCTCAATGCTGTGCTAAGAATCTGTGGAACAGCAATACAGAACAAATTAGTATCTTCAGGAGAGCAAATTGGAGCCGGGGATGTGGAAGAGAACAGTATGTAAAGCACCAATTGTACCACCTATACTTTTTTTAAATAGAAGTCTCTCAATGGAAGTATTTATATAGCACCCCTCACGCAGGTTAGCTTCCCAAAGCACTTGATAATGGCAGAGCAAGACGCAGTGCCAGAGTTTCAAGGTGTAGCGGACACTGATGGTGAAACGGAGAGCATGAGGGACAAGAAGAAGACGGGAGTCATTCGAGTGGAGACAATGTTTTGTGGGTTGTGGATTAAGCAGGTTAGAGAGGTAGGGAGATGCCAGGGGACTGATAGGGACAGTGGGCTCCTGGATCAAGCTTTGACTCACCTTTCAGTGCTGGCAGTTTCTGCAGTTCTCGGTTCTTAGCCAGGTTGAAGCGCGACGAGCTCTGGCGTCGCTCTTTCTTGACGATTTGCGGCCCTCCCGAGTACTTGATCTTGTTGAGCTGGGTGGGTGGGGGGGCGCTGTTGCTGGGACGCTTGTTGGTGGCTGGCTGCTGCACCACCTGTGGTCGCAGAGAGAGAAAAAAAAACATTTCAACTTCAAATACCTCCACCCACCTTCCTCATTGTCTATAAATACACCTCACAGAAAAATCTGACACAGTTTGAGATGTTGAAGTCCCACAGCGTAATGGTTAGAGTGCTTGCGTCACATGTGAGAGGGACCAGTTTCGATTACCGGGCAGGGTGAAACCTTAGGCAAGTTTCCTTATTCCGCACGCTTCGGTTTACCTAACAGCAAGTAGGAACCCAGCTGTTAGTCAATTGTGGATCACTTTTCAGGTAATAATTCCTCCAAAAAAAGAAAAAAAATTGGGTCACTCAATCCATAACTGTTTGTAGGACTGCTGTACGCAATTGGCTGCCAAGTTTCGCCCACAAAATACACAGTCAATCCACTTTACAATATATTCCGTGAGGCGCTTTGAGAGTCTCAATGACCTGATAAAGTCGGTATATCAAATACGAAGATTATTATTTATGATAGATGTTTCATGGTTATCAAATGCAAGGATCATCATATTGTGTGCGCATCTGTGTGCTTCTTGCTCTCTACTTACCTGAATCATGTATATCACAATAAAGTATAATTTTGATTTATACAGCACCTTCCATGTAGGGGGGAGCATCTCAAAGTGCCTGGCATGGCAGGATGGGATCTCTCACTCTGTACTGCTCGGGTAAAATGACAACCCCTGTTACACTGCTAAACATTGCGGATTAACTTCACTTCTGTATCTGAGGTGCAATGCGGACGTGTTGGCAGAGTGTCTCAATGCGCTTCAGAAACGATGGGGAGCATTGAGCACAGTAGCTAAAAGTCAATGCTGGGGTGGGGAGGAGTGGGTGGGGAGGGGCAGCAGCCTCACTCCAGTAACACTGGGGAAGGGGGAAGTCAGACATAAGGTTACATCTACCAGCAAGTAATCTCACCTTCTCCCAGTGAACAATTACCTACTGAAACACTACCCTTTTGGGAAAGGAGGAAACATCTCATAGAAAAATAGGTACAGGATTAGGCCATTCAGCCCCGTGAGCCTGCTCTGCTATTCTATTAGATCATGACTGATCTGTACCTCAACTCCATTTATCCGTCTTTGCTCCATAATCCCTTGATACCCTTACCTAATAAAAGTCTATCCACCTCAGTCAATTTTGAATTCATCCAACATCCACAGCCTTTTGGGACAGAGAGTTCCACATTCCCATTACCCTTTGTGTGGAAAAAGTCTCGAGGCTTGAAACAAAACTAGGGAAGTCATATTATTTCGACAAAGTCTCCAATCATATTTCTATACTGCAGCGATATCTGCCTCGCTCAGTTAGTTGCACTCATCTATGGGCCATGTTGGAGACTTTAATCTCACAGTCCAGGCTGTCACTCTAGTGCAGGACTCAACGACAACATATAATGCCCCTCATGCAGGGTAGCGTTCCAGATAGTGGCAGAACATGACATTGGGAGGGGGAGGTGACCATAGGCACGGTTGAAGCAGAAGGTCTTCAGGCGCGACCTGAAGATGTGGAAGGAAGGGACAGAGGAAGTGCTCTGGAGTTTCGAGGTGGAATGGAGGGCAAGAGGGACAAGTGGGAGGCTGGAGACAATCAAACCGAGGCAGCGGGTTGTGGGGTAAGAAGGTTGGAGAGTTAGGGAGATGCCAGGGCATGAAGGGATTTGAAAACGAGTAAGAGGATCTTGAAGTCAATCTGTTTGATAATAGGGAGCCAGTGGATCGTGGCTAGAACTGCTGTGATGGGGATACAGAGTTTAGTGTGGGTGATTCTGCTGGTGACGGAGCTTGGGATTAGCTGGATCTTGTGCATGGTGGAGCTGGGGAAACTGGTGAGGAGGGCATTTTAAAGTTGAGTCGGAAGGTGACGAACGCATGGACAAGTGTTTCGGCTGCTGGAGTACGGTATGATCAGAGGCAGGCAATGTGGCGGAGGTGGAGAAAGGCTGTCCTGGTCAAGGACTGGATGTGGGGGAACAAAGGACAGCTGTGGAGTGAACCTGACACCTAGGTTGTGCACCGGTTTGGGGAGGTTGAGGAGGTCAGAGTCGCAGGACAGAAGACGTTAACAGGAACCAAGGATTATGGCTTCAGCCTCGTCAAAATTTAGTTTTATTAAGCTTGCGCTCATCCAGCCCCTGATGTCTGCCAAACAAGTGGTCAGAACATCATTGGACCTGGAGTCGCAGCTGGAGGAGAAGTAGAGTTGTGTGTCATCCGCATGCCCCATGTTTTCGGATGACATCGCCAAGAGGGAGCATATAGACAAGGAAGAGGAGGGGGCCAAGGATGGAGCCGTGGGGACACCACAGGTGACCTGGAAGATAACCGTTTGAAGAGACAAAGTGAAAGAAGTTTGTTAGGTAGGACTCGAACTAGGCTAGTGTAGTCCCACTAAGGTGAATGAGGGAGGAAAGGCGGTAGATGAGGATGTCATGGTTGACTGTATTGAAGGCAATGAAGAGGTCCAGGTGGACGAGGAGGCTGAGAGAGCACTGGTCACAGAGAGAGAGGTGGTTTTTTGTAACCTTGACAAGCACCATCACTGTGCTTTGGGTAGGCTGAAAACCAGAGGGAGGTGTTAGCAACAATGCGTTGTGGCAGGTTGGAAATGGGACGGTAATTTGTAAGGTCAGAAGGGTCAAGGGTGTTTTTTTGAGGAGGGGAGCGTTGACAGCGGTTTTAAGGGGGAGAAGAACAGAAACCAAGGAGAGCGACTGGTTTACTCTATTGTTGGAGGTGCCCAAGGATATCTGCCATTGTGCTCCCCCATGACCCCCATGAATTCTCACATATACAGTTATAGCATTTGGCAGCAATTCAATCACAAGGATCACCTGACACTGTGATTCCCCAATATACAGGATGTGACACACCGTCCTAGGGAAACTAACAGTTACCAGGGTGAGTCAGTGTTTGACAGTACAGTTACAGGGAGAATCAAGTGTTTGACAGTAAAATAACCCTTGTATTTCATACAGCACCTTTAATGGCAGGAGAACACCTCAAAGCAGTTCACAGAATATACTGTAAAGCGTAGTGACTGTGTACTTGTAGAATGCACTTAAAGGAATCTTTACTTTCCACCTCAACAGGCAGATGGATCCCTGTTTAATGCCTCATCTGAAGGATGCATCCACAATAATGCAGTTTCCCCCCAGCACTGCCCTGGACTGTCAGCCAAGACTATGAGTTCAAAGTCCCGGACATAGGTCTTCTAAAACAGAGGCAAGACTTCTAACTAACTGAGCCAGGCTGATGGCAAGATGAGTTTGTGCGAAACACTCTCAGTTACATTTACAGGAAATCGGTCAGTTGTAACACTCTGTAACACAGTTACAGAATTAGTTAATGTGTCAATTTGTCAGCAACACAGTTACAGACTGAGTCAGAGTGTGACACTCAGTAATAATTACAGGCGGTGTCAGTATATGACACTCAGTAACAGTTAGAGGCTGTGTCAGTATGACATTCACTCAATAACACAATTACAGTGGGCCATTCAATAAACAGCTACAGGGACCAGTTAGTGTGCAAAACCCATTAACAGGGCCATACTCTGTCAGTACTGGAGAGAATTTCACAATTCAAGAATAATCTCTTGTGTGTGTGTGTGTGTGTGTGTGTGAGTGTGTGTGAGTGTGTGTGTGTGTGAGAGTGTGTGTGTGTGTGATTCTCAACTCCCCATAGACTGCAACTGGGACAATTATTTCAAAGCATTTCCTCATGAATTCAGCCAACCGCCCCTCATCCCTATGCTGTACCATTAGACACAGCCAGTCAGATACAGTACAATTAGCAACAACGTCAGCAAACCAGCCCTCCCTCCCTGATACATAGGAACCAAGGAACAGGAGTAGCCCCTCGAGCCCCTGTTCCTCCATTCTATAAGATCAGATCATGGCTGATCTGTAGCTCAACTTGAATTCCTGCCCTTGCCCCATATACTTTAATACCCTTACTTAACAAGCATCTATCCACCTCAGTCTTGAAAACGTGAATGGATCCAGCCTTTTGGGGGCAGACAGTTCCAGATTTCCACTACCCTTTGGATGAAAAACTGCCTCCTGATTTTACTCCTGAATGGCCGAGCTCTAATTTTAAGATTAGTCCCCTTGTTCTGGATTCCCCACCAGAGAAAATAGTTTCTCTGTAGCTACCCTATCAAATCCCTTTACTATTTTAAAAGCATCAATTAGATCACCTCTCAAACTTCTAAACTCAATGGTCACACATTTTACCACTGGAAATACGGCTATCACAGATCAGTTTCTCCCACTCCCCCCACCCCCCGCACACCCACCCCAATACCAAACCATTAGAAACAATCAGCTTACAAGAGCCCCCCACCCCACATACGATACCTTTGGAGGCATAAACTACACAGACCAGCCCTGCCACATCTCTACCACATACCATACCATTAGAAACACAGCGAGCACAGACCAGTTCTCCATACACTGATCATTAGGAATAGACAATATAGAACAGGGCCGGTGTGTGCACAAGTACATTTCGAAAAGTACGGCGTGCGATAAAGATAGGGCTGGTCTATAACAGTGTGTCAAGGTTCAGTTCATGGTGGAGAGGTGCGGCTGGTCTGTGCTGGCTGTTTCCCCACACCATGTACTGTACCTTTAGAAACACCAACAATATAGACCAGACACTTCCCACCCCATTTAGACAATGCCATCTCACACACATGTCAACATGGAGGGTGGGGTTGGGGGCAGGAGGGGAAGAGGTTGTTCAGATTTGCAATTGCTGTGCAAACAGATTGCATTTCCAGCATTTGCCATGAGATGCCGCCTGACAGCAATGGCACAAGTTCAGCATCTCAGAGCGTGGTTAGTTAGATGCAGCTATGTGCTGCTCACTTTTAAAAACATCAGTCCCAGGATGGTGGAAGAGAAGCGGAAGAAATGGGGTGACGCCCAACTGGTGCTAGCATTGAACATTCAAGCAGGCTAATTAACCTGCAATTTTATTACATCTCAAAGACACTCAAGTATAGCGACTGTAGTGCAGTCAAATGCAGCAATAGTCCACAGTACAAGTCTATGACGTGAACGACCAATTTATCTGGAAGAATAATCTCTTGGACACCAGGAGAAACTCCCTTGTCCTTTGTGTTATGGGATCTTTAACTGGTAGGTGGAATCTGGGTTTTGTGATAGTATTTTCACCACAGTATTGCATCAGGGTGGACTGCAAAATCAAGATTCCCAATGTGGACCTGAGCTCAGGCAGCATTTAAATCTCTCAATTCTATTTGTATCTGCATTTTTATTCAGCTCGCAGTCCAGACCAACACTGGAGTACAGTGCTGGCAGAGTGCTACATTATCAGCGGCACCATGTTTCAGATAAGACATTAAACCGATGTCCTGCCTGCCTGTTCAGGTAGACATTAAAGTTTCTGAGAAAATATTGGAAAAAAGAGATTCTCCCAAATTTCTGGCCAATAACCTTCCAGATAAGCTGGTCATCACTTCATGGATGATGTGGGACCTTGCTATGTTCAAAATATCTGTATTTATGCCTATAAAGACAGTCATGATACTGGTCAGCAGTTCCCCGTGAAACACTTGACAATGCAAGGACATACTCATTCAAACTGAATTCAGTTAGGTTTAGACAATAATAATCCTTGCATTTGAAAATAGCGCCTTATCACATCATTGAAACGTCTCAAAGCGCTTCTTCGCAGAATATACTATAAAGTGGATTGACTATATTTTGGGGGCGAAGCCTGGTAGCCAATTCCGCACAGCAACGTCAAACAAAGTCATAGATTCAGTGACCAAATTATTATTGGGGGGAAGGGGGAAGAGAGGGATTATTACCCCCCTGGTTAGCAACTCGCCAATCGACTAACAACTGGGTTCCTACTTGCTGCTAGGTAAACAGAATTGTGTAGAGTAAGGCAGCCAATTGCACACAGCAGTGTCCCACAGACAGTCATGGATTGGGTGACCAATAATTTTCTTTGGAGGGATTATTATACTTTATTCTTAAATTTATTATATTAGAATACATTTATAATATATTATAATTTATTATATAATAAATTTACAATATATAAAAATATACTTTGTTACAATATAATAGGGTACTATTAGATTAGATACTTGTTGCCTCCAATAATACTGTTACGTTTTAAAAACCTCTCTCTCTCTCGATCTGGGCATTTGACATGAAAGCCAGCAAATCTCTCTGAAAATACTCGTTTTTAAGCCTGAGAAGTCAGGACACAGCAGACTTCTGTCAACTCTACTTCCGTTCATTCAAACCAGGAGCATTTGAGCAGGACTGGAAAAATCCCTCTTTCACCCCTTTTTTTTAAAAATAGAAGTCCCACGGTACACCAAGCAACCTATAGTTGGCATCCTACACTCATGTACGGATTTGCTCATCTTGCAGTGAAGCCAGCAGAGGCACAATGGACTGAATGGCCCACTTCTGTGCTGTAAAATTCTACACCTTCAGCTCAGATCAGGACCACTCCCAAACAGGGAATCAGGGAATATGCCTGGGAGAGAAATATTTTTGAAAGTACAAAAGCACATCACTGTCGGCACCACGTAAAGCATATGCTTTTAATAACGAACATATAGTCAAACCTGCAAGGTATATTAAAATGCTAGCTTCACTTACGCTTCCTAACATGATAGGTCAATTGACACATTTGAACACACACAAAACGAAAGCAGGTCAAACAGTGAGCCATCGTCACCTCTACTCCAGTGGGTCCCCCTGGTTTATACTCAGCTGATCTTTAGCAAAATGCAAATCACAATGGAATCAGTCGTGGGGGGTGGGGGGAGGGCACGACACACAGACCACGACAGAATCTTAAATCACTTCTCCTCCCCCCGTTTAAAAGGCAGACTGCCCCTCAGCATGAATAATCTGTGTCATTCATGCAGATACCTTAGCTGTGAACAGGAACAGTGCAATAAAAAAATACAAGACCTACAGACAAAAAGGGTATGAAAATCCATACATATACGTAAATGAATAATAATCATTGCATTTGATATTGAGCCTTATCACGTCATTGAGATGTCTCAAAGCACTCCACAGAATATACGGGAAAGTGAATTGACTGTATTTTTTGTGGGAGAAACGAATGTCCCCTGCGATGAATATCCAACCCTCAGCTTCTTACGCCGAGTCCTTCAGCACAACTCCATCCACCCCAACGGCTTTTTTTTTGGGGGGGGTGGATGGGGGGGGGGGGGAGGGTGTCGGGAGAGTCAGGTTGGTGTAAAATGCTGCTCCGCTGAAAATGCTGCTCCGCTGAAGGAGGTGCAAAATGCAGCCCTTTGTGCTGTGCAGGTTTGAGGAAGGAACTGAGGAACTGTGATCACAGCCCCTTTTAAAAGGATGTGCTGCTTCTTGCTCCATTACACCGGCCATGACTTTACCACCCTTCAAGCTTTCACCAGCAGGGGCGGCCCGTCACCAGCAGGCGCTCACTCTCTCTCTCTCTCTGTGTGTGTGTGTGTGTGTGTATCTCCATTTCACCCTCCTCCAGTTCTGGGCTGACTGGATTACTCGAGCCCGAGGCTGCGGCCTTCCTCGACGCACACAAAGGGTGTCAAAAATGGTGCAAAGCCTTCCTGGAAAGTTTATATGCCCTCTCCCACCCCACCCCCACCCGCCTCTGCTTTATTACCTCCTCCGTGTTGTCGGCGCCATCCTTCCCGCTGTTCTTTGAGCTTTTGGTGGATTTGGAGGGTTCCTGTTGGGGGAGAGACGGCAGTTTAGAGAGAGGGAGAGAGAGAGGGGGGGGAGAGGGAGGGAGCGGCGGCCACGGCACACACTCGGCCCCAAAACCACCCCTTTACCTTCTCCTTCTTGGCTTTATTGGGCATTTCTGCTGTCGCTGCTCCGGGACTGGCCTCCAGCTCAGCTCCGACCTCCGCCCGGCTCTCACACCAGGCCCGCGTACCCGCCTCCCATTGGCTGCGCCCGATTGGGCGGCCGCCAGTGATTGGACGCCATCCTTGGAGAGTCTCGTGCTCTCATTGGACGGTATGTCGGACACGGACGGGCCTCCTCCCTCTCTGATTGGCCGAGCCGCCTCCCCACCCGCCCTGATTGGACGGCCGACAATGATTGGACGAGCCCTTGTGGAGCCTCGTGCTCCCATTGGACTGAACGGCGGGTCGCGGCTGCCGTGCCTCGCTCTGTGATTGGCCGAAGCCTCCTACCGCTCTGCTTGGCCGACAAATCTCTTTGCTTTAGTCTAATTGGTGGGTAGGACTTGACCACATGTTGGAGGGAACAGGACAAGAAGAGGACGGTCAACCTGTCCATCAGGTGTGATGTGAGTCTGGCTGAGATGTTTAGCCCTCTCGCAGGTGGGTTAGGCCACATCTGGACCCCGCTAGGCCGATAAGCCAGACCAACAGCACCTTGTATTTATATGGCGGCCCTCACCCGGGTTAGCTCCCAGAGCGCACGACGAAGCGTGGCGGAGCTCGGTGCCCAGTGCCGAGCCTGGGGGAGGTGGCAAAAAGGGTTGAAGAGCCTGAAGATGGGGAAGGATTGGGCAAGGCGGAGGGAGGGAGGCAGAATGCTCGGGGTATAGTGGCTGAAAGCGCAACCACCGATGGTGATGCGGAGGGCACGAGGTAGGGAGGTGCCGGGGCATGAAGGGATCTGAAGACAAGTGTGAGGATCTTGAACTCGATCCATTCGGTGTTAGTGAGCCTGTGGTGCCTGGCTGGAACTGGTGTATGGGGGTACAGAGTTTAGTGTGGATGAGTATATTGGAGTCCTGTGGCTCAGTGGTTAGAGCACTTGCTTTGCAAGCGAGAGACCTGAGTTCATTTCCAGGCAGAGGGCGAAACCTTGGGCAAGTTTCCTTACTCCACACGCCTTATAATAGTCGCTCCAAAAACCAAAAAAATAAATAATAATAAATTGGTCATTTTCAATCTACGACTGTTTGTGGGACATTGCTGTGCGCAATTGGCTGCCGCGTTCGCCCACAAATATACAGTCAATTTACTTTACAGTGTGTTCTGTGAAGCGCTTTGGGACGTCCTCCCGACGTGAAAAGCGCTATATCAAATGCAAGGATTATTATTATTATATTGGCAGTGGACTTTGGGTTTAACTGGATTTTGTGGTTAGTGGAGCTGGTGAGACTGGCGGGGAGGGCGTTTGAATATCAAGGCGGGAGGTGATGAACGCCTAGGCAAGTGTTTCGGCTCCGTTTGTGCAACAATTTGCGTTTGTATAGTGTGCTTCACGTGGAATAATATCTTATAATAATAATCCTTGCATTTGATATAGCGCTTTTCACGTCTTCTAGACATCCCAAAGCGCTTCACAGACTATACTGTAAAGTGACTGTATATTTGTGGGCGAACGCGGCGGCCAATTGCGCACAGCAATGTCCCACAAACAGTCATCGATTGGAAATGACCAATTTATTATTATTGTTTTGTTTTTTTGGAGGGATTATTATTTTACAATGGACACCAAGCCTGGGGACTGAGACAGTGGCGGGGGTGGGGAGAGTAACCATAGCCATGGCCAATCAGAAGGAGCGAGCAGAGAAGTAGGATAAGGGATCAGAGAGATAGGGAGGTGTGAGAATATGATTAATAATAATAAGCCTAATAATAATCCCTCCAAAACAAAACAATAATAAATTGGTCATTTTCAATCCACGACTGTTTGTGGGACGCTGCTGTGCGCAATTGGCTGCCGCGTTTCACCCATAAATATACGGTCAATTCATTTTACAGTCTATTCTGTGAAGCGCTTTGAAACGTTGAGAAGACGTGAAAGGCGCTATATCAAATGCAAAGATTATTATTAATAGCTAAAGCTGAGCCTATTGCAATCGATCCACTGAGACAGGGAGCCAGCAGGCCTGGCAAGGAATGGGAACATAGAATGGGGGATGGACATATGGAATTTGGTTCGGGTGGCAGAGTTTTAGATGAGTTCATGGATGATGGAGCTAAGGGAGACCAGTGGAGTGCATTGGAAAATTCTCTCCTGCCTTCCCTCCCCCCCCCCACCGAGCACCCACCTCCAGCTCAGGTGCCTTACCAGCTTTGTCAAGTGCTTTGAGAGTGCTTCTTTCTAATGTGAAAGGCATTAGCTAAATGGAAATTGTATTATTTACTTCTTCAAAGAATTCAATAAGATCAAACGTGACCTTTTATGAATCCATGCTGGCTGCTTTTAATTACTCGCCTTCACGAGATGCTTAGTTATTTTAACCTTTATTAGACTCCAATATTTTCCCTAGCAGACATTAAGCTAACTTGTTCTATGGATTCTTGCTCCACCTCCTTTTTTAAAAATGAGAAATCATCATCTAATTTGCTAAATACATATTCTAGTGCTTCAGGTATCTTTACCCTAGTTTCTTTAAGGATCCTTGAGTTTATTCCATTTGGACAGTGTGCTTTGTCCTCTTGAAGTGTGTTTAATTTATCTAGCAACTCCTCTCTATCTAACTGCCATTTCATTCATTACAACATCTATTTAGTATTCCTATATTTTCTTTGAATATGGCAGCAAAGTAATAATAATAATCATCCTTACATTTGATATAGCGTCTTGTCACGTCTTCAAGACAATATTTACAATATTTTCTGTAAAGTGAATTGTATATTTTGTGCACCCAAAAAAAGAATTGGTCACTCAATCCATGACTTTTTGGGGCAATTGGCTGCCACATTTCACCCACAAAATTCACAGTCACGACACTTTACAGTATAAAGTGCTGAAGTGAAGTGCTTTGAGATGTCTCAATGACATCTCAATGACACTGTATCAAATGCAAGGAATATTATTATTGTAAAGTGGATTGATTGACTTGCGGGTGAAACAAGGTAGCCAATTGCGCACAGCAGGGTCCAACAAACAGTCATGGATTTAGTGACCACTTTTTTTGAAGGGATTATTATCCTGGGAAAGCGAACTGCCATTCAACTAACAACTCAGTACTTACTGCTTGGTAATGAGGAGTGTGGAGTAAGGAAACTTGCCTAAGAATTGCCCCACCTGGGAATCAAACACGAGTCTTCTTGCTTGCAAGGCGAGCGCGCAAACTACTATGCTACAGGACTCCACTTTTCAAGCATCAATCTAATTCTACCTTAATAGTTTGGCTCACTTTGTAACACTTTCACTTCTGGGTCAGAAGGTTCTGGGTTCAAGCCTCACATAAACTTAAAGCTCCCAGGCAAGAATGCCTCTCCAGTGCAATGTTTTTTCCAATTGAGCCAGTCCTGCCTACCCATTTTAGAGATTATTTTTGTTGGCCTGCAATGATTGACTGAACCTCTTGTACCCTCCCGTCTTGACTTGCTCCAGCTCCTGTTTCTCTGGTATCACTTTTTAAATGAGAAACATTTCTGATCAACACTTGACATGTTCCAGGAACCAGTCTTCCCTTGCTTCAGTTATTTCTGAGGTTACGAGATCAGGCTGGAACATGCTGAATGGCAACAAGAAATATTTAAAGCGCGGCAAAGAAAATGTTACCGAATTTTTCAAAGCTCTTCATTCACTGTATTTTGTGAGCAAAACATGGGAGCTAATTACAAACACTCGTGGATTGAGTGACCAATTTTTTAAAAAAAATCTTTTTGAAGGGATCATTATCCCCAGAAAGCAATCTGCCAATCGACTAACAACTGGATTCCTACTTAGCTAAACAGAGGCATATGGAGTAAGGAAACTTGCCTAAGGTTTCATCCCGACCGGGAAATGTCCTCTCATTTTAGAGGCAAGTATGCTAACCACTACGCTACAAGACTCCACAGCATAGATGAGCTGAATTACCTGTTTCCATGTTTTAACATTCTATGTAAGTGACCATTTTTCATGTGTGAAGCTCAACTCTCGGGATATTTCACTGTGGGTAGTGTCATTTTTGTTTTGGTCAGCCAGATGTCTGACACATGCAGATACTCATCACCATGCTTAAAAGAATCCAAACTAAGCTGGGTAGTATCATAATGAAGATTAATGGTGCATCACTTTGCATTCTGCATCATTTCCAACTAGCTCATCACAGACCGAGCACTGAGTTTGGACTTTCTAATTTAAAAACTAGTTTTTGCACATTTTTGTATGTATCTAGGCAGAGACGTAGTAACTCTCAGAGTCTTGTCTTGCAGGGCTGAGCCCTTGACTAATACTTCTAAGGCTCACTGATAAACCAAACAGGCTGGTCAATCATCATTAACACTGCAGATTCACTTAACATGCTTATTGGTAGCTAATAAATCCAAGGAAGTCATATCTCTCACAAAAGAGAAAACTATTTGTAGACCTAAGAGTATAGAGGATGAAAGCACCTACTAGGATTTAAGCCCTAAAACTTCTAATCGACTAACTGAGCTAATCAGGAATGTTCCCGGTCACTATTTTATCTATTCAATAATAGCAAAGTCCAAATGCAAAGTCCAAATGCAGGACTTTGTATCCAAGATGTGTGAATGAACAGTTCCCTTTCATCATTCAGAAATCTTTGGTAACACAAGGGGAACATTTTCTTCAGCCCATTTGTGAAGTTCAGAAGCACCAGCAAGTGGATTTGTGGCAAAAAGGAGAGGCTGGAAGGAGGGAAGACTCCAGCCTACACTATTGTTCAGCACCCAGAAGGCAGAGTGAGCTTCATGGTGAACACACCTTTTTGCCAAGGCTCCTCATACAAGCACCTGGATCAAGCAGTTGGTGTTAAGTAAACCTGGATCTCTATAACATTCAAGTTGGTTGGCACATCAAAAGTTGTCCTGTCTAGGTACTTGCATCACGCTGAATAACTTGGTATAACATGCATTATAAGAGGGCACTGAAAATATGGCAAAATGGCCTTTTATCACTGCTGCGACCACTTCCTGTGTGCTATCCCCAAACCACACTGAGAAACCTTAGGCACGTTTCCTTACTCCACACATCTCTGTTTACCTAGCATTAAGTAGG